CAATGAGCGTTTACGATCAGAATAAAACCCAAGCTGCCTGCCTAGAACATATACACATATACATATAGCGAGAGAGAGAGAGAGAGAGAGAGAGGCTACCATAGCGAGAGTGAAGAGAGCTGCAAAATGTGAATGGATTTGAGGCTCGGAGGATAGCGATCAAGGTGTTTGTGGAATTCTGAGGAAGCAGAGTGTAAATGAAGAAGGTGAGGGACTTAGGGGTTTTATACTACAGTGTAACCGACCCCTTAACACGGGGTTCGACTTTTGTTGGACGCTATTTTTTACACCGTTGGATCACAGTCCCGCTTGAATTTTCAGCTTGAATTTTGACCCTCGACGTGGCACCCAGAATGGCCATTGTCGGACGCCCTCTGCTCGGATGAATTAGCGATTATCGCCCAAAGGTCTTAAAAGCCCAACAAAACCTGCCCAATACAAATCCAATATTTAGAAGATATACAATTTTTCGTTTTTTTGGTTGTTTGTTTTTTTACAATGGAACATTCTAAACTATCTTAATATATAGGAGGAGATTCGGACTCGAGTGCAAGAGGATGTACACATTACGTTAACCACTGGCTTAATAGTGGGGAGGGGGTTCAAACTCGAGTGCAAGAGGGTGGGCACATACCTTAACCAACTTGTCTAACCTACATTTACGTGTCCTTGTTTGTATTCACCTTACTAATTGACGTAATAAATATAATGCTTCCCACCAACTGGGTGTTAGTTATATTGGCCCAAATCAGATTTTTGGTGTGCTACCAAATGGTCTTGAGTTCAAATGCTCATGGTACTTGTGTGTAAGTTCCCTCCCCCCAACTTTAATACTTCCCCATCATTTGATATTGTATATTTTCTTATTGACAATTCGATAATTTAAATTACAATAAATCAAATAGTAGGCAGATCCAACTCTAAGTCATGATAATTCAAAATTTGGGATTTGTTTTGAGGGTGTCCTAAATTTGAAAGGATTAAAATGAGATGCGCCATGTTTATACCAACTTTATCTTTCTCCATTTTTAAAGTCGTTAATTTTCTTACCGGGCACTCGAGACACGTGGGAGTTATGCAAGACCAGAAAACAAACTTTTCTGGACCAAAGAACGTTATTCATGATACGACAGGCTCAGAAGCGTTTGGGGTGCTTTCTTCTCTTTCCATTATCTCGTTAAACCTCTGGTTTCAACTGGGTTCGGGTTCATGCAAAAAATACACAAAGGCAACATTGCCATACACCCAAGCTATATGAACATGAATGCAGTACCGAACCCAAAAGATGAAAAATTAAAAAAAGATATACATCATGGGGATTGATGAACAGCTCCGTAGAGATTGTGAAAGAATATAAAAATACTAATAGGCGAATAGAATTAACGGCATCAGATATAATGGACTGGACAAGAAATGGGGAAAAGGGCAGATAGGGAGCCAATTCAACATAAAATCATACACGAAAACATGGCATCCTCAAATTCACATCCTCATGACCACGAAAATTATCACTTACAAACTGCAATACCACAAGTTTTTCTTAGAAAAAATGGTCCAAGGACCCACAAATATTAATAACGAAACTTTCACCAAGACAACAATTCCCCACATCTACTCGAATGTGTCATCGTCATCATCAGGAAGGGGCTGGCTGGCAGCTGCAGCGAGCTCGGCTTCGTGCCTGTATTATCAAGGGAAAAAAGAAATATAAGGTAATGAAGAAAAGAAAAAAAGAAATGCATCAAGTCCAATCATAAACTGGCAAGAATTTTCCTACAACTCTATTCCTTTTTCACTACATAACATGTGTGTGTGATGAGTGGGAGAGCGATCAGGGTACGTTTGTGTGTGTGTGTGTGTGTGTGTGTGTGAGAGAGAGAGAGAGAGAGAGAGAGAGAGCAATTTTGTAAGGGAAGGCTTACTGTTGTTGTGCAGCCAGATCAATGTGTACTTCTGGAGGAGCCAAGGCAGGTGACTCAACAAAATGCAAATTAGGATCCCTGCAACAAACAAAGCACTTGAGTAACTTATATATCTATTTGCAATAGTTTAAAGAAAAATATATCTATTTGGAACCAAAAGATTTACCCAGCAAGCTTTCTGGCAAGGTATAGGAAAGGCTTCTCAAAGTTATAGTTGCTCTTTGCTGATATCTCATAGTACTGCAGATTCTTCTTCCTGTGGAAAGTAACCTGCTTTGCCTTGACCTGCCTGTTCTTCACATCAACCTTGTTTCCACAAAGAACAATTGGAATGTTCTCACAGACCCTGGAATTCACAGCACAAGTACCCATTAGAGTTAATACACCCCCCAAAAACTCATCAAGTGAAATCAATGCAACTACAAATAAAGAAAAATTTCCAGGCAGACCTGCAAAGATCCCGATGCCAAGTTGGAACATTCTTGTATGTCAATCGAGCAGTAACATCAAACATGATAATTGCACATTGTCCATGGATGCTGCACAAAAATGTAATTTAGAACAAAGTTGCCCAGAAAGAGTAATAAGCAGTTATCAAATGAAATCTAATACAACCTACATAAATCATATGTAATTTGGGGAGTGTAATCGTCATAAATGATGGCCTAAAACAACCTACATAAATCAATTAGACAGGAAAGCAGAGGTAAACCAAGTAGTTACTGTGGGAGACAAATGAAATCTAATGCTACATACGTCAAAATGATTTGCACAATATGGGAGTTCAACAAAGAGTACAGTCATTCGAATCGGCAAAGAATTTTGAATAACGTCATACAGCCATTCAAATGACAAACGTAATATTGAGTTTTAACAAATAATGATGACAAGCATGTAGATATCAGAACAATTATGCTCAATACAGTTAAAGCAAAATGCATACAAAATAAAAGAGTTCAAAAGAAAAGTTCAGCCATAAATTTTTAAAAGAAAACACTCACTAGTATCCATCTCTAAGACCACCAAATTTCTCTTGCCCGGCTGTGTCCCAGCAATAGAATCTAATTTTTCCACAGTTGGTGAAAAAGTCCAATGGATGGACCTCCACGCCAATAGTTGCTGTCCATTAAAAATGAGCAAGAATGAGTCCAATACATCAAATTCTTATAAACGCTTAATCTTTCTTCACACATTTATTCTTCTTAATTCGGAAGGGAGATTAGTAACAAAATGGCAAGGTAACGGTCAACAAAGTTTAGTAAGCATAGAAAACTCAAAAAGTACTAATGCTTTACAAGACACTTACGTTCGTATTTCTTCTCAAATTCACCAGTAAGATGTCTCTTCACAAAGGTAGTTTTCCCTGCATTGACATAAAACTCACTCAGTTATGGAAAAAACAATGGCATCATAAACCAAGAACTAAACCATATCATGTAAATTATAAAAAATAACCAGAATCTGAAAACAGCAAAGCCAAAGGAAAAAGGTATACAATCACCAGTACCAAAACCCTAATTTCACTATTATAGTATCAATTTCAAAGGAAAACTTTGTGCTTGCACACCTCGAGCTCTGACTGAATAAAATATCCGAAAGAAGTTTCAGGCTGCATTTAGATTTGAATAATTGTAACAAGGTTCTAGAACTGGAGCCCCAATATAAAATTTCTAGGGAAGGTTAAAAGGTTTAGTTGTACACTTAGACTCAGCCTTATTACAGTTCATTTCGATTGCTCTAACCAATTTGCAGTAAGGCCAATCCATATTACTAGGAACCACCTTACAGAAACATTATACAAGATTATAGTCGAGTGCATGAAATTCAAAGCCAACTCCCGATCACTCAAATCCAAAGTTTATACCATTTAGGTCACGCTTGCATAAAGTTTTAATTTTGAACTATTTCACAGAAAGCTCGATAACCAAAATTAAAATCAAACTCCATGTTGTTCAGGCCACAGAGTTTGCATTTAGCTCCATTTGAGCTCAGTAACGAACCGATTTGTACAAACAAAGACAAAACGAAAAGCACAGGAAATTTTTCACTGAAACCAAACAGATCATGAACGAAACTGAATCCATAGAGAAAAGAAGAGGCAAACCTGTTCCACCATCGCCAACGATTACGAGCTTGAAGCTCGGGTAATCCACGGTCTGCTGATTCGGCAAAGCCTGCAGGTTTTCACACAAATATTGTATTTAAAACAAAATTTAATTACTTTAAAAAAAAAAATCAGTTTTCACAGCAACCAAACACACAAAATGAAGATCAAAAGATGCGAAATAAAAATTTTGAGACGAAAGATGCGAAGATTTACCATTTGAGTCTTGCTAATGTGAGTGGCGCAGAGAGCAAACGAGTGAGAGCGAGAGAGGGAACGATTGAGATTTGTTGAGGGTTTATATAGTAGGAGCCTTCGGAGAGACCCTAGTGTTTTCTAATTCTTAGCTAGCTTCAAAGTAACGCAGCTTTCTGGACCGTCCGATTGTCTAAGCACGATGAGTTCACGCTTTACACGTAGCAGGCCTCGTTTGACGGTGTGCTGGACTGGGTTGTAGCCAACCCGTTTTGGAAGCTTTCTGGACCGTCCGATTGTCTTAGCACGATGAGTTCACGCTTTACACGTAGCAGGCCTCTTGTGACGGTGTGCTGGACTGGGTTGTATCCGACCCGTTTTGTAAGTTTGAGTCGGGCTATTGGGTTGGCCTTACCCGAACTTTGGGCTACCCTTCCCTTTCCCGAAGTTGCTAAAGAAGGACTCATCATGGGCTGGCTTAGCCCGTAACATTTTCCTCGATTGAATTTTAAAATTTTCTCAATAAAAATAATTTATCTTTGCTTTCTCACATAGAAGAGTGAAACTCATTCATGATGATGTGACGTTGTGAGGCGAAATAAAAATTTAGGGAACATGTGAATATACTCGAGGAAAGACTTCAAGATCAAGATTCAAAAATTTGATCATATATGTACTATATTTCAGTTTAGTCAAAA